CAGCATTTTGGGAGCCCAAGACAGGAGGATCCCTTGAGCCCAGGAGTTCAAGACCAGCCTGGGCAACATGGAGAGACACTATATCTTCATTTTTAGAGAAAATTAAAAGCCAAAATGTATAGGATGTAGCTAAGGAGAACAATTATAACTTTAAATGCCTGTGTTAGAAAGGTTTCAAATCAGCTACATAAATTTTAACCGTAAGAGTGTAGAAAAAGAAAAGTATATTTAAATTAAAGTAAAGGAAGTATGAAAGAGAAAGCGAACAGCAAAGCCAGAAGCTGGTTCTCCAATTGATAAACCCTATCGAGACTGACCAAGAAAAACACACATGCACCAATTTAATTCCACTATCAGGAACGAAATGGAATACAAATCTTATATATATATCAAAAGATACAACTAGATAAAATGTGCAAATTTCTTAAAAATAACCTTATGAAACTAACACAAGGAGGAATAAAATCTGAGGAGTCTTACGTCTATGAAGGAAATTGGTTTATAGTCAAAAATCTTCCAGAAAGGTGAGATCTCTAGGCTCAAGTGCTTTCACCAGTTAATTCTAACAAACTCTTACAAATGGCGTAATAGAATTTATAGAAGCCCTTCCCAACTCATTTTAGAAGACCAGCATGAACCTATAGTTAAAGGACAAAGATCTTACAGGAAAATAAAATTGTAGATCAATTTCCATCAGAAACATAGATGCAAAATTCCTTGGGTATCTACCCAGAGGAAAATAAGTCATAACATAAAAAAGTCACTTGCACATGCATGTTTATAGTGGCACAATTCGAAATTGCAAAAACATGGAACTAGCCCAAATGCCCATCAATCAACCAATGGATAAAGCAAATGTGGTGTATTTATATCATAGAATACTTCTTAGCCATAAAAGGGGAATGAAATAATGGTATACACAACAATGGATGGAATTGGAGACTATTGTTCTAAGTGAAGCAACTCAGAAATGGAGAGCCAGACATCTTATGTTCTCACTCACATGTGGGAGCTGAGCTGTGAGGACGCAAATGCGTAAGAATGACACCGTGGACTCTGGGGACTTGCGGGGAAGGGTGGGGGGGTGGAGGGATGAAAGATTACACATTGGGTGCAGTATACGGCGCACGGAAATCTCAAATCACTGCCAAGGAACTTACCCATGTAACCAAAGACCACCTGTTCCTCCAAAACCTAAAAAAACCCCAAAAATGAAAACAAAACAGATGCAACATGTTTAAACAAAATATTGGCAGACTGAATCCAGCAATATTTTTAAGGGTTAATACATCATGACCAAGTGGGGTTGCAAAATGCAAGGTCAATTTAATATTCAAAAATCACTCAGTGTTACTTACCATATCAGTAGAACAAAGGGCACTTCCTCACATTGACAGCATTCACAAGAAACCCACAACAGGCATCACACCTAATGGTGCGAGAGGAATTGCTTTTCCCCCTCCGAATGGGACCCAGGCAAGGATCTTCGCTTTCGCCTTTCCATTGACATTGTACTAGAGCTCCTAGCCAGGGCAACAGGGCAAAGAAAATAAAATAAAATTAAAAAGGCATAAAGACTGTACTGGTTTAGCAGAACATTGAGGGGGAAGTAAAGATGATTGTACTGGAAGGGGCAAAACCGCCTTTATTAGAAGACAGCAAGATGGTTTATATAAATCCTAAAGAATCTATTTTAAAAACCAGAATATTTTTCTAGTTTTTTTCCTAGTAAGGTACTAGATACAAGGTCAATATATAATGATTGCATTACTATATTCTAACAGCAAACGACTTGTAAACTTTTAAAATACAGTAACATAAAAATACATTCAATAGAAATAAATTTAATGAATGATGTAGAAGACGGAGAACTCAAAAACACTGCTGAGAGAAAGTGTTAAAGACAGAAAGATGTTTTCCAGGACTGTGAGATTAAATATTAGAAACATGTCAGTCATCTCCAAATTGACCTGACAGATTCGATTTAATCCCAGTCAAAATCCTAACAAAGTTTAAAAAAGAAATTGAGAATTTGAGAACATATATGGAAATGCAAAATAGAATATTTAAGATAAGCTTCAGAAAGACAATCAAGCCAGGTGGGTGGCTCTAGCTAGAGGACTCATGTATGTCTTTGTGCTTTACTAAAAAGCGACAGTAATTAAAACAGGGTAGGATTTGACCTAAGTGCAGATAATTAAATCAGTGGGAAAGATGTAGGGTCTAGATGCACACGCGTAACATCAGTCGACTGCACGAGACAGACGTTCCACGACAACTCAGCAAGGAAAGTGCTCAGCAGGTACCACGACGGGATGAACGCGCTCCTCACTGCACGGTTTAACGGTTTAACTCAAGGTGGCTCACCGACCTCAGCGTGAAGCTAGCAGCTCTGAAAACAAGCATATCTTTGCCACCTTGGTGCAAAGACTTTCCTAGAGAGAACACACAAAAAAGCTAAACACTAAAGAAAAAATGGATAAATTGGATGGCATCAAAATATGTCGTTAAGGAAAAAGGAAAGTAGTTGCAGTACTGTAACTGGCAAAGAATTTTTATCAAAAACATATTCTACAAATCGACAGCAAGACGAACAGCTCGACTGAAAAATGGGCAAACATGGCTGGGCATAGTGGCTCATGCCTGTAGTCCCAGAACTTTGGGAGGCCCAGGCAGGAGGAGGACTGCTTGAGCCCAGGAGTTTGAGACCAGCCTGGGCAACATGGGGAGACCCTATTTCTTAAAAAAGCATGGCATGGTGGTGTGCACCTGCAGTCCCAGCTACCCCGGAGGCTGAGGGAGGAGGATGGCCCAACGCCAGGAGACTTCAGGGAGCGATGATCAAGCCTGGGCACTCCAGCCTGGGCAACAGAAGGAGACCCTGTCTCAAAACAAGAAAGAAGTCACACCCTGGAATGCCAACAGCTATTAAAGAATGCAGTAGGTCTACGTGCAGGAACAAGGACAGTGGAAGATATTTGGCTAAACGACAAAAAATGTAGATTACAAAACTCTGCACAGTGGTCCAAATTTTGTTAAAAATAATTAGCATTAGTAATGTGGAGACAAAGATGTGAAGGCTGGGGCCGGGCATGGTGGCTCACGCCTGTAATCCCAGCATTTTTGGAGGCCGAGGCCGGCGGATCACGTGAGGTTGGGAGTTCAAGACCAGCCTGGCCAACATGGTGAAACCCTGTGTCCACTAAGAATACAACAATTAGCAGGGTGTGGTGGTGCATACCTGTAATTCCAGTTACCTGGCAGGCTGAGGCGGGAGAATCGCTGGAACCCGGGAGGCGGAGGTTGCGGCGAGCCAAGGTTGCGCCACTGCACTCCAGCCTGGGTAACAAAGAGGAAAAAAAAAAAAGACAGAAAAGACTGTGGGTTGGGAGGCCCGAGGCACTGAATCTCTGCCTTGGCGACTTCTTCTTGCTCCGCGACGGCCGCTGGGCACTCAGGGAGGGCATGTCCTTGGCGGGCATCCTGGGGAAAGGCCAGAAAAAGGGGCGCGGTGCTGGGTGTCCCCTCCTAGCCTGGGGGAGCGTCGGCGGGGTGCGGGATGCAGGTCCGGTGCTCCCTCAGGTGGGCCAGGTGAGGCGGTGAGGCTGGCGAGGGGAACACACGCCCGGTCCCCTGCCCCTCCCCCGGCCGTCCCTGACGGGGAGTGGGGGTCTTCGTGGGGTGCTGATTCCCCTACCCCCCTCTACAGGCACTGGGTGGCCACCGGGGTGCGGGGCTCCCACTGCTCCAGGCCCTCCCCGGGGGGCGTCTCTGTGGCCGCGCGGGATTGTGGTGCGGTGGCCGGTGTCCCCTGCAGGAAGCCGTTCTCGCTGGCCGCCGCCTTCACCTGGGAGGGAAGCGCCTGGATCTTGGGTCCTGGGCCACCACCTGTGTCCCCAAAGCCCAGCCCGGAGTCTGGGGGCGCGGGACCGGATGTGCGTGGTGGGCGGAGGCTCCCACGGCCCCTCCGTAACAGGGACAGCTGGGTGGAACAGGGTGAGGCCGCGGGGCCGACGGCAGGGTCCCAGAGGGCAAATGGGGCCTTGGGAACAGAGTCTGGGCGGCCCTGGCTCTCCGCTCCACTTTCGTCTGGCCGAATGTGACCAACCCTTTAGTCCCCAGGACAGGACCATCAGCCCGTGTTTTGCAGCAGCGCCAGAGTGGCCCAGCCAGGACTCATCCCCAGGTGCGGGGCTCCTGGCTTCCATGCCCCAACCCCCACCCCGACTATGCAGGTCCCATCGGGACCCCCGAGGTGACACCCCCCCCTACTATCAGAGCCGCTCCTCTCTTTCTCCCTGGTCTAAGCAGATCTCTTCTACCCCACCCTTTGCCCAGCTGGGACCGCTCCAAGCCCCACAGCTTCAGATCAGAGGAGCCGTGCACAAAAACAGCTGGGTCACCCGAGGCAAGTCCCCTCCCCTTCATTTTCTTCACTGCTGACTGGCAGCCACAGCCCTCGGTGGGTACCAGAGGGCACAGATGACCCACTCCGCCTGTAGGAAGGCCAGTGGAGTGCTCGTCCAGCCACTCCAGGACCCTGTATGCTCCCTGAGGCCGCCAAAGCCAGGTGCACACGACGGGCCACCCACTGTCCTCAGCCCAGTGTCCCCACTCCTGCTGGCAGCAAGCAAGCTGCCTCCCCAAGACACTCGACCAGGGACAGTCAGGAACCCTCCAGCAGAGGCAGACCGCAGGCCGGCCCCACCCCCACTCCACCAGACAGGCCAGCAGGAGGGCCCAGGCCTCCACCCGGCTGGAGCCAAGAGCCCTCACATCCAGGTACGGGAGCACCCCTGGAGGGCCACGGCTAATGGGGAGTGTGTGGGCGTTCCAGGGATAGGCCTCAGGTTTGCAAGCTGGCAGGGCCTCCAGGGAAGGAATGCTCCTGTCCTTGGGCCCAGCCCGCCATCTGCAGGCCTCAGACAGCCCACTGGACCCACTAGGCACCAGGAAGGCAGAGGGCAGGCAGTAGGGAAGTGACAGACACACCCACACCATCACGTCAGAGGGAAAAGTTTATTGAGTCAGCCACAGAGGAACAGAGAAACAGATGCAGGGAGGTTCCCGGTGCACAGAAGAAATCCGGGCGCCGCACGAGCGAACCTCGTGCAGCACAGAGCGGGCGCAAACAGCAGTGCATGCCACACACGTTCACCTGGTAAGGAAAAACAGAACCCAAGGGCTCTGTGTCCAGACGGACACAGACATGAGGCCACTTACCCAACTAACAGAAAAGTCATGAACGGCATGACCCTTCTTACAACCTCCTCCTCCTAAAACATAACATTATGTGTTTAACACACACTTATACCATTGCTAAATCAGCAAGAGCTATTATACTGCTCCAACTTAATAAGTTGATAAAAAGCTGTCCTGTGGCCAGTTCACAATGGAACTAAATAGTTTCGTTCCGAGATGCCTGGGGAGTTTCTCTGACGGCGAGGCATCTTCAACACACAGGTCATTCTGTCACCAGGAGCTGGTCTCAGTCCACGGCACAGAGTGACATGCCCCTGGCAGCCAGCCCTGTGGAGGGCAACGGGCAGCCGCTGGGAGGGGTCCTCAGTCCTCCTGGAGGCCCAAGGAGGGGCTGGCCAAGGGGCCACCTTGAGGTTTGGGGGCTCTGGCCAGAGTGATTGCTGGCTTTGCATGAGGAGGTGACAAGAACTTTGGGCTGGGTCCCCAACATGCTGTGTGCATGGGCCTTGTTCAACCCAGAACTGAACTGACACCTCTCCCAGGTGGTGAAGGGCAGAACCCCCCAGGAGCTCTCGGAAGCGGGGGTCCCTCACGACAGGCCTGTGGCACCAGGCTTGGAGGCAGGGAGCTGGTGTGTCTCAGAGGTGGCGTGTGCTGCTGGGAGGCGGAGGGCAGATGGGCCTGACCCCGCAGCAGTGGTCACTTGCACACTGTGCGGTGGCTACAGCTGGACCATCGCTGAGGCAGAAGCGAAACAGCATGGGAAGAGCTGTGTGTCTTCCTGAAGCCGGTTCATGTCTAGTGTGGACAGCAATATTTGGTGTTTTGCAAACTTGGTCTGTAGTAGGTGTCACTATCGCTGGTGGCCGCAGAAGCCATTAGCCACAAAAGGGTTTTTCAAACATGCCACCCGGGCATCACGGCCTCAGCAGTGGAGAGCCGCGGGCAGCCCACAGTGCCCCTTCTGCCCTTCTGTTGCCCTGAGGGCTGCTTCCTGTTCTGCTTTGGGGTTCTAGGTGGTCACAGGTCAAATCCTCCACATGTGGGGCCTTCGAGAAACACTCCTGAGGGCTGCTGGAAGCCACTAACCATCTGTGGAGGGCTCGGCGGCCCTGCCTCTGCCCAGGGGACAGGACTGAACAGAGCACTTCTCCCAGGTGCCCGAGGCTTTCATGGGCAGGGGTCCAAGGGGCAGCACAAAGGGCTGGCATGCTCAGTGGCGGGTTGGATGATTCCAGCTCAGACCCCTGCCTGGCGCTGAGAAAAATGGAACACTCCAAGGCTAGCTCTTCAGCCACCAGGCAACGTCACGATGCCAGTCCACCGACAGACCTGGGCGAGAGGTCACAGGCAGGCTGGCCCAGCTGAGCGCTCATGGCCTCTGCCCCTTCCCACCAGCTCACATTCCTGGAAACTTCTGCCGTGTGTTAAGGGGAGGCTTGCCAAAAGATTCTTGACGACTTAGCTGACTTTGACAGGGAACAAAACCACCGCAAATGAGACCAGCGTTACTAGTTTGTGACTCGTCTGTGTGCAGTACGCAAGACTCAACCGACCCACACCCCGCCTGACACCCCAGTCGCCACCAGCCTGCACGGCCCAAACCCCGAGGGCGCCATGAGCCCAATGCCAGCTGCGCCCACAGCACTGGATGTCTGGCTAGCCTCCCCAGCGGGCACCTGCACAGCCTCCTCGTCCTCCTGGACACGGCTGCCAGCCAGAGCACCTCCCTTTGACAGTGACCGGCGTCCCCAGCCCCGCCTTGGCACGGCATCTATCCGAGGTACAAGGTTAGAAGCCACAGACGCCTGAGTTGCCGCCTGACCCACACAGGCTGCGGGTGTGTGGGCAAGACAGCCTGCCCGCCTGCCCTTCTCGGCTTCCCTTAAGACACAAGGTGACGACAGGGACAGTTTCAAGTGAGTGCAATCTGGAAATAATCTCAGTGCAGGGGAGGGGCTGAGGCTAAAGGATGTGGCGGCCTGGCCCTCGCTGTGGCCAGGCCGGGCCCACACGAACCGCGAAGAAACCGACGCTACTGACCCTGAACCCCAGCCCCCGCCGCTCCCCCTCATTTCAGGTCCGCACGCTGACTGACCTCCACACTAAGACAAGACTTTGGCAACACCCAGAGGGCTGAGAGCCTGACTAGTCCAGTGTGCGTCCCTGACTTGTCACTGAGGAGCACACGACAGTCACGCCTGTCCCTGGCTGGCAATGGCTTTCGGGGTGTTCACACTCTGACAGTGACTGTGGCAAGGCCGCGCGGAGAGCACGGAAGGCCGCCGTTATCCTTACTTCAGATTGGTCAAGTCGAGGCTGGGATCTCCAGGGTTAACACGCTGCTCAGAGCGGGGTTGCGAAGCCCCTCTTCCTCCTAAAAATCAAGGCGCAGCCCGGCCCTGAGACTCCTGCACTCCCAGCTGGCAAGGAACCGGCTTTGGTGAGCCCTAGATCTGGCCCATGGGCCTTCAGCTGAGGGAGGGAAGCCTCGGCGAGGGGCGGTCCCCGGCGGAACCCGCGTCTGGCGTGGTTTGGGTCAGATCTCGATTCAGGTCAGGTCACTGCCACCCTGCATCCGCTACTCTCCTGCCTCCGTCTGTCTTCCAGTCGCCAGGACGAGAAGCCGGAGAAACCAGCTAAGACACGGGCTGCGCCTTGAGGTCCTGACAGCACAGCCAGGTCTGAGTGGGGACCTACGGTCTAAAGCCACTAGAGGGTCAAGTTGCATAGTGAGCTGCCACCGACGCCCGGCCGAGGTGAGGAGGCAGGGGTGCTGTCCCCCGGGGAGAAGGGCTTCCGCTGCCGGAGGGCTCGCAGCGAAGGTGGCAGCACCTTCAGAGGTGGGACTTGCCCTGTCCAAGCGTGCGACTCACAAGGCCATCCTCAAGTCTCCATGCAGAGAAGAAATGCTCTTGAAGTCCTGCAGTCAGTCCTCTGCAATCCTGGGACGCCGGGACCTGGCAGAGGCACCGCACGTGAGCGGGCACCAACTGCCACCTGGACACAAACGACCTGCAAAGTGCCACTAGTGACCGAAGACGTGGCAACACCAGAGGCCCATCAAGTACATTAAACAGTCGTTTCTTTAAATACACAGAAAATTCAAGTAATTTATTTAAAAACTGCTTTAGTTTCATCTTGAAATATATCTATGTGTTTATATATATTTGCTCTAGAATGATATTGCAGCATGATCCTCATGCACTCCAAAGGACTTTATTTAAAAACGACGTGAGGCAGCAAAAGCATTACAACTGTCTGACTGTGTCCGTGTGGCGTGCGGGGCCTCCGTCTCCTGATCTCAGTGGGCTTACGCCAACCGTTTTGAATCGGAAGCGTAGGAACGGCTTGGTTCTCAAGAGCCTGTGGTTTGGAAAACATTTCCAAGCAGCCGCGGTGCTTGCTGGAGTCTGCATCTTCGCTGAAACCAGGACGGTGGCGCAGAGCCCTCTGGTGGCACAGGGCTTCTGCCGTCCAGACACGTGCTTCCCTGTGCTCCTGTCCCGACTCCAGCGACAAGCAGGTGAGCAGGTGAGGAAGCCGTGCAGCTCCGACAGGTTCCAGCACGCACGTCCCCTTCGGGAGCGCGGAGGCTCTCCACATCCACACGCAGAGGTAGCCTGCGGCGGGGCTTGGGAGGCAGGGCCGCCGGGAGCTCTGCTCTCAGGAATCCCCAGCAAATGGTTTAGCGATGAATCCAAAGTGCAGCAAAAGTCAACATTTGGGGTCTGGAGGGGTCTGGAGGGGCAGCCTGGCCTCCTAGGAAAGTCCTTCAGCCGGGGGCACACGTCTGGGTGCAGACATACTCTTGAGCACACGTAGGCGCCCGTCTGGAGCTCACACTCCACCCCCCACGTGGTGCCCAGCCCATGCCCGGGAAGGGTGTCTGGGAGCCGCCCCTGCAAACCACTGCCTTCTGCCCAGGCCCCCCGACCAGCCTCCTCCCAGCTTTGGTGTTCGGCCGCTGCCCGAGGACACAGCTGCCCCAGGCACAGTGTGTCAAACTCGCTGAGGAAAAGAGATGCTGTTCTTCTAAGAAAACCACATTGTGGAAAAGAATTTTTTTTTTTTTCGAAAATAATCATAAAGAAAAATACTCTCCAGTAGCTGCAGCACCAGCTGAAGTGACGGGATCTGCCAGATGCCGACGCCTGCAAGCGTCCGCAGAAAGGGAGTCTGAGAAAACGTTTGAGTCGCTGACCACACTGCCGTTACCTGGAGCATTCAGATAAGGCATAGCACTGAATGTCACATTTTGTTTTCAATTATAATTCTAGAAATGTGAAATCTTAGTTTTTCTAAATTGCTTATTGTCTATATAAATGCTTTATAATTTAAAAACATGCAGAATAATATACCTGCAGAATAAAGAAGTTGAAATTAAAAGATTTTTCAATTAAAAAATATTTCAAATGATTTTTTTAATCATCAAAAAAGTGGTTAGTGTGGTATTTTTGCCTAGTAGCTCAAACCTACCCTATGATGACTGAATTGTGACTACGGAGCGGAGGGGCTCGGGCCTGCGCTGCCAGGGCGGCCACAGCAGCTGCCGGGCTCCAAAGCGTCAGCTCCCGCCTGTGGCCGGGCCCCGCCATCCACCCGCCTGCCCGCCCGCCCACCTTGTGGAATGTGTGTAAACGGGAGTGCGGCTCAGACCATGGACTCCGTCTCCACCGGCCCCGGCAGGCCCTCCTTCCGCACGAGCTTCAGCACAGTGGGCTTTTCCCTGCTCCCTCCCGCCCCGCCTTCGCTGGCCAACTGGGAAGACAGGCCTTTCTGCTCTTCCCTGGCCTCCTCTGATGCGTCGGGATAGATCACCAGGAATGCGGCCGTCAGGAAGCCCAGGAAAGAGCCCACAGAGGCCACCATGGGGATGACACGGACAGTCCCCACAGCGTCGACCACGCCCCCGAGGGCCGAGGCCACCAGGATCTGGGAGATGTACACCTGGCAGGACAGGATGGCGCAGTCGATGCCAAAGCCACGCTTGGAGTTCCCGGGGCTGTGGTGGACGTACTGCAAGAGAGGAAACATGAGGGTGAGTGGCTGGAGAAGGCGGCTGCCACCCAGCCCCGCAGAGCTGTGACTATTCACCCAGCAGCCTGGAAACGCAACCTGTCCTCCACTGAGCTTCTCGGCAGCCACTCCTGCCTGAGCACCTCCCCCACCCTCAACTCCTGCCCAGCACTGTGCAGGCGGGGAGGTAGAAAGTTCTAGCTCAAGGAGAGGGCAGGCGTGGAAGCAACTCTGTCAATCTGATAGGGATGTGGGCTTCCCAGGAACCTGGCCTCCAGTCTCAAGGAGAGGCGGCAGGGCCAGGCTCCACCAGGCTGCCCCACCTCGCCCTGGCAGTCTCCCCAGGGGCTGAGGGGCAGTAGGGCCGTGAGCCCAGGTGGATGCTTCCCAAAGTAAAACTGCAGGTGGCCACGGGCCACAAGGCAGCCGGACCCACGGAAACAAGCAGCTTCATTTGTGTTTCTTCAACGAAGGCACAAAAGAAAGCTGCTGTTCATACACTACTACTATCAGACGTGTGATGGTCAGACGGCATCTCCACGGGAGGCTTTTTCCTAGAGATGCTGAAAAAAAGGTCGATCCGCTAAGATAAACAAAGCAGCTCTAAACGTGTATACCATAACCACAGTGAGACTCTTCAATATACCTAAAAACAGACAGAGCAGGAAGAGAAGAGCAAAGCAACGTCAAGGCTGACCTCCCTGACAGAGACGGGGCCCCAGGCGCATGACCGACGTTCTTTCCAAGTGCACATGGAGCATTTCTCAACACGCGAGATGTGCCAGGCCCCCAAGGAAGCCGCAACTAACTGCAAGGCTGCACTCACGTGGGACACGTTCTCTGGCCACTAAGGAGTCACACTGGACATCAGTAACAACATGACAACTGGAAACAGCCCAAATGTTGGAATTCCATCAATGTCCTTCTAAATAATTCACAGTGCAAAGTAGAAATCACAATGAAAATTATAAAAATCTTTGAAAACACGTTAGAACCCACACACAGTGCAGCTGGAGGTGCCTGGAGAGGGCAGGTGGCCTTAACCTGCAAATATTAGGCTGGAAGTCGGGTAAGAAATGAGCAACGGCAAACCAAGACATAGCAGAAGGCAGGAGATGGCAAAGGTGGCGACAGACGTGCGGGCACACGGTTGTGCGGCAGGGAAGACTGACACCAGAGATTCCTCGAAACACAAGTCAATGAATGGTCTCAGAGAACTCACACCGGAAGGAAAAAGGAGATACCACTACAGGTTCGGTCTCATTAGATCCTAAGACTACTGTAAACAATTTAATGCTGATCATTCTGAAAGTGCAGATGAAATGGACACATTCTCAGGAAAACACAAATCAAAGCATCATACTTCTGGGCCGGGTGCAGTGGCTCATGCCTGTAATCCCAGCACGCTGGGAGGGTGAGGCAGGTGGATCACCTGAGGTCAGGAGCTTTGAGATCCATCTGGTCAACATGGTGAAACCTCATCTCTACTAAAAATACAAAAACTAGCCAGGCATGGTGGTGAGCACCTATAATTCCAGCTGCTCAGTGGGCTGAGAAGCCGAGTTCGTGCCACTGGACTCCAGCCCAGGCAACAGAGCGAGACTGTTTCAAAAAAAAAAAAAAAGTATCATACTTCCTAGAAAGATATTAAGTGAGATATGAAATACTCCCTGGTTGATTTGAAAGAGCAAACACCACTTGTGTTTATTTTGTATTGGAGGTTCCAGCCATTCCAAGAAGGCAAGGAGAATAAGCAGCAGGTATGGAGAACCAGGAAGGAGGAAACAGAGCTCATTGGACACAGATGATGTGGTTAAGTAGGTGGCCCAAAGAATCTCCGGATGTGCACTGAGGATTAATAATAGAAGGGGACGGAGCACTTAGGTATCAGAAGCACCATCCTATGAAGTCATTAACTCTCCCCAAATTGACTGATACAGTTTGTTTTTAATTTTAAAAGCCCAGAAGCTGAGTCTAACATTTAGATGACAAATAAATGGTTAAGAATAGCCAAGACAATCCTGAAGAAGAACAAAGTTGAGGGATTTCTACCACCAGGTTTCAAGACTTATTATAAAACTAGTTTAACTGAGACAGTTGATGTTTCTTAGAATAGACAAACAGAAGAGAGCAGAAACACGCACTTACACGAAAGCCCAATTTATGACAAAGATGGCCCTGCACAGAGGGGCAGGGAATGGCGCTAGGTCATGACCTGGGCAAACACCCATATGTAGTGGGAAAAAATAAGTCTTGATCCCCTACCTCAAACCATACACACCACATCTACTTCAAGGTGACTGTCAACCAAGAGCAAAGGCACAAAAGGAGGTGTGGCCAGGGACGCTCCAAGAGTGCTATCTGCGACAGCATATCCCAAATGCCTGCAAAGCAGGAAGCATCTGGCCACACACCGCGACACGAAAAGGCTGGCCGTGCTGCTGCCAGCACGCATGTGAGTGAAACCCAGAGACGAAGCCAGATGTTTCAGCTGCATAAAATCCAGACAGAGACAAAAGTCTGCCTGTGCTGTGGTCACTGAGCATTTGAGATAAAATTTGTCTCATCTGTGATGTGCGGTGATGTAACATACACACAATTTCAATGATTAACAAGAGTGTAAAATATCATGGTGATTTTTTCATATAGAGTACATGTTGAAATGATGTTTCACCAGGTTAAATGAAATATGCTAGCTTTCACTGGCCATCCCACTTTCTAAATGTGGCTACCAGGAAGCGTAGGCAGACCTGTGCGGCTCTCCTCCCACCCCACTGGACAGGGCTGGCTGGGGCTTCCCCCTCAGGGAACTGTGACTGGGCCTGAGGGGACTGAAAGAGGAGGGGCAGTGCTTTTGCCTCCAGAAACTTCTGGAAGGTGCTCGGGGGTGGGGGCGGCTGAAGAAGACCCTTTGTGGCCAGGGGCTGCCCAGGGACAGGTGGTGGCTCTGTGGGCTTTGGGAGGAGCCATGTCAGAAGCAGAGATGGCGAAGGGCCAGCTGTGTGGTGAGCCTCCCCCGGTGGAAGTGCAGGGCTCCGCTCTTAGGGGACAGAAGGCACTCAGGAGGCTGGGACGTGGCTCTCAGGGCCACTGTGGCACGCACCTGCTTGATGTCGTGGTACTGGCCCAGCAGGGCGTAGGGGCAGTAAGAGATGCTCATGGAGACGATACCCATGGTGCTGATGGTGACCATGGCAACGTAGACATCGGGAAACATGGCCATCACGGCAGTGCCCACGGAGAAGCCCAGTGTCCCCAGCACATAGATCACCCTGACACTCAGGTCGTAGTTGTCCAGGTACTTCTGTAACAGGGCTGCAGAGAGAGGGACAGGGACAGTGGGCAGGCAGCTGGCTCCGGTCGGGCTCCCTCCACCATCCCTTCCCTTGACCCCCTCATCCACCTAACCTTCCCTCATTCCGGCTAAACCTGGGCCTGCTCAGGCAGACACAGCGGCATGGTCCTCTGGCACATGCCTGTAGCTCATGGGCCCACTGCGAGGCCCAGTGGCTTCAGCACCACAGAGGGAAGTCGGCCCTCCTTGTTCCAGGCCCCATAACCCAGCTCTTCCTGCAGCTCCCAGGGACCCCTGCCCTGCCCTGCTACCAGCAGTGGGCAGTTCTGCGTCGGGACACTGTTGCTGGTTTTTCTCATGGGAACCTCTGCTCTTCCCTCACCCTTCCTACCCGGTGGCTCAGATGTCACCTCTTCTGGGAAGGTGCTCTGCTGAGAATTCCTCTGTTAAAGTGGTGGCAACAGCATGGGCCATCGCACCAGCTGCTGCTGACCAAGAGGCATTGACTTTGGCCATCCTCACGTCTAGCTCGAGCTGAATGATGCTGGCCTTCCCCAAGTTCAGAGTCCAGATGGGCCAGCCTGACTCGTACTCAGCTCAGAGACCCCTGACCCAATTACCCCTGGTTCCTGGTGACCCTGGGGGCGCTGCCTAGGGACGGAAGCCTGCCACCCCGGCCCATCTCTCAGGGTGAAACGTGCCTGCGCCCTGCTCCGCTGCCACTCTGCCCACCAGGCCACCATCCAGCTCTGCACTGGGGCCAGGGACAGCGCCATGGGACCACACGAGCAGGATAGGCCCCAAAGGCATCTCAGAAACACACTGCTCCCAGTGCCAGCCCACAGCGGCCTTTTCCCCTGAAACGAGGGGAATTTCCATGCTTTTCCCTAAGGGGTGGCCCTGTTCTGAGGGACCCGGAAGTCAGGGTGCGATAGATGGCCCCAGATTCTAAGGTGCAGGATTCTCTCCACATTTCTGATCTGAGCCTTTTCTGGGCTGCGAGCCTGACCTGACCCAGCTCTTACCTGAGCAGATGGCACCAGTGGCTGCGTAAATGACCAGGCCCCAGCAGCCCATCTTCACCCCGGCGTTGTAGGCTTGCCAGGCGGTGGAGTTCGTGGCGTCCTGTTCCAGAAATGAGACGGGGCTGATGAGGGCATCTCCAGGCCCAGGAGCGTATTTCCCATGGGAACGACTGCTGGCCAGCTACTCATTTTAAGCGCAGCGACAGGAGAGTCCCCTCCAGGAGGGCCCGCCCCAAGTTGGTTGCTATCTGGTAAAGTATTTCCATGCCTCCCAGACCACAGACGATCCGTGCTGTGACTCTGCTGCCGAAGCAAGAGGCGGGGTCTGGTCTGTGCTCCCCGCTCCCCAGTCTGGGCTGGGCTGGGCTAGACTTGCAGTGGCCTCGGCCCTCTTGGAGCCACTGCATGGAGCAGCTCAGACTGGACTCGGAAGGGGAGGGACCGTGTGGAGACAGGCAGGAGGCCCGAGTGTGTGCTGAGGGCACCTTGGTTCTCCTGGCAAAAGCGGCCATGGGTGTGAACCAGCCGCTACCACAGGACCGGAAGAGCCACCCGTGAGCCTGGAATGAGCGACAGCAGGGCATCATTTGAGCTGTTTTGCTCTGCGGTAGCCTGACACAGTGACAGACACCCCGTTTGGCACCAGAATCGGCACCTGGCATTCACGATTGCTCACCGTGGGCCTCACTGCAACCCCCACCCGCGGCCTCCAGGATGGCCCTGACCAAGTTCCCAGGGCGTGCACAGGCCAGCTGCCTGCCGCGGGTCCCTCACCTGCACAGGAGGCCCCGTGCGCCCTCCTTGAAACGCGTGGGCACCGGGAAGAGGCCCCCCGGCCCAGCCTGCGAGTTTCTCGGTGAGCCACAGGTAAGTGGAGGGGGCCCGCTCCAGTGGCCGAGCACTCACCTTGGGGTCACCCTCGAAGATGACTTGGCCCATGAAGTCGGTGTAGAACACGGCCTCGGCGATGACGGAGAACCAGGTGAGGAGGTGGCAGAGGCACAGGCGCATCAGCTCCCTGGGCATCTTCAGCATGGAGAGCCACAGCAGGCGCACGGTGGTCTCGCCCTCGCCCTCCTCGCTCTCCGTGTCTCCGCTGGAGTTGGTGGCCCCGCTCTGGTTCCGGTGCCGGCGCCGCTGCCGCTGCCGCTTCTGCATGTCATACAGGTCGCTCATGCTGCGCGACGGCTTGATCAGCACCACCGCGTTGGCACGCCGGTAGCGGTAGCAGTGGGACCCGAGCTTGCCATAGTAGGAGAAGGTGCTGGAGGCCTGCCGGCGGAACGCGTGCCGCCGCCGCCGCACGGAGCTGGACGTGGCCGAGGGCTTCATGCCCACCCTGGCGTAGCCGCCAAGGGCATCTTTGGCCGGGGAGCCACCTCCATTTGGGACTTTAGCTTCATTCAAGTGATTATCCAGCAAGGTCTCGTCCTCCTTGGCGGCTTCCCTGAGGAAGGTGGTCAGGTGGGGCGGCCTGGCCTTGGCAAGCTCCTGGCTGGTGCTGCAGGGGGTGGCAGGGTAGGAGGCGTCTTGGAAGATGGAGGGCTCGATGTCGTGCAGGAAGAGCAGCTCGGGCTCCAGGTCCAGCGCGGCGTCCGGCACGTGCAGTGCCGAGTCACTCTTGCTGCGTACGATGTCCACGTCCAGGTAGTCCAGGGCCAGCTCGTGCTCCGACTGCACCTCGTCCGGGAAGGCAGGGACGCTGTGCGGCTCGCCCCCGTCCAGGGCGCTGGGCTCCTCGGCGCTGCGCTCCTGCTGCGGGCTGTACTGCTCCTCCTCGATGCTCAACAGGTGCAGGGCCACGGACACCGTGAAGATGATGGCGGCGAAGAAGAAGAGCACCTGGTTCTGGGTCCGGAACCAGCTGCCCAGGAAGGTCTGCGTCCAGTCCAGCCCACCCAGCACGTAGCCGACGGCCCCGCCGAGGCCTGCGGGGGAGGAAGCAGCAGGTGGTGAGCCGGTGGCACGAGGCCACAGGGAAAGCTCCGGAAGGGCCTCTCCCTCTAACAGGGGCCAGGGCTGCACTCCTGTTAGGAGTCAGGGGATGCAGAAGGCGGTAGGAAAAACAAAACCAGAAACTGCAGCTGCCCCTAGCTCTGAGAATTCTGACCTAACAGAATCACCGCTTGATCAATGTGGGGCACACCGTCCCAGGACGGACACAGTGCATGCCTCCTGCGCTGAATGCCTTGCCCTCAGCACACGGAGCCTACCACATTGACCTGGACAGAACACCGCCCGGCTGGAGGTCCACTGTGTAAGCAGCGCATCACCCCCGCAGGCCTGGCCTCCTGCCCCTGGAGGCTCCTCAGTGCCTCAGCCCACTGCAGAGGTCAGGAGGGCTGCCCCTGGTTACCGTCCAGCCCTGAGACCCTGCCCACTGCCTCAGCCCACCATGCAGCCTGATGAGGTAGCACTGACCACGGGAGCACAGGCTCCTGTCCCCTCCCCACACCGGGCCTGGGCATGCTGGAGCCCGGCCACCCTGTCTCAGTGCGGGAGTGTTACCGGCAGAGAAGGCGTGGATGTTGAGGGCCATGTCCTGCTCCTCGCTGTCCACCACGTCCAGCAGATAGGCGCGAATGGGCCCCTCGGTGGCATCGGCGCTGAAGTCCAGGACCACCACCCCCAGCACCGTGAGCACGATGCCGATGGGCTGCCGGCCAGGGACATCGCCGAGGGCCAGACCTGCACAGAGCACATGGGGCAGCGGTCAGGTCCTCACACACTGGCCAGGGTGGGCCCGAGAGCAGACGGCCACGTGGAAGGAGCACACAGAGCGGGCACAGCCATGAAGCCATGCCAGCCTTTCTGCACAAGAGCACGGGGCTCTTTGGTTCAGATGCAGGGGACAGGAGCTAGGTTTTCTTCTGCGTACTCTGTGGCTTCCAGGGTTTTTTTCTCCCCATTTGGTTAGTAAACCCTCTCTAAGGGTTTACTCACCCTTGGTGTTCTTTCAAACAGAAAGCAGGAGAATGGTCCTTCCTACTCGGGCTGTCAGATTACAGCTGCTGTGCTGGAAGCAGTAACTCAGTGTCGCTAAGGAGGCCACACGATAGTGCAGAGGTCCACGGGGCAAAGCGCCCACGCCACAGACAACCCATGGGCGACACTGACAAGGCTTCATGAGGCAGGTGCAGGGGGTCTCATGGGCCTGCTCTAGGTCTGAAAGGAAATGACACCCCAAACTTTGGAGGCTTTGCACACAAGTTCTTGGGGCAGCCTGGGTTCAGGAGATGTGGCTCTAGAGAGAAAGATGCCAGGGGCCTCGCCTCTTACAGGTCCTCCTGCAAAAGGCGGCTGGCACCCAAAGGCAGCTGCCCCCATCCACGTCCCTCCGGCCTCGGGGAGTGTGCCTCCGAATCCAGAGCAATGTTGGCGGCTGAGGTTCAACCCGTCACTTCCCACCAGGGAGACAAGCAGTGCCCTCCTGATGAGATTAGGGGAACCGTGGGCAGGGCCTGAGGCCCAGGACCCGAGGTGCTGTGACTAGCCTGAACGCAGACACACCTGCCCGTGGAGGTGCAGAAGGGCTTTCTGCCCAGGTGGTCCTCGCTGGCCGCCTCAGACCACGGGCAGGAGACAGCTCCGAGGCAGAGGGGCTGGGGCTCCCAAGCTGGCTGCATCTGGGTCACATTTGGGAGGACCTCCCGCAAAGACACAGTCCTGGGAAGCCATGTTGTTTCCCTCTCCATCTAGGTAATGGTGGGGAGGAGAGGGCTGTTCCTGAGGGACACAGACAGGCTGGGGGTGGGGGGCGGGAGCTCCGGGCCCAGCAGGCACCAGGGCAGCTGCACCCCCACACGCAATCACAGGCATCACCTGTTGGTGACAAAGCCTGCCCCACGGCCAGTGCCCACTCGGGCTCTGAGAAGTGTCCCCGGGGCCTCTCCTCCAGCCGCTCCAACTCCCCCACCTCCCTCTGCAACATGCAGACCTGGGGCAAGTTCCTTGGGCTCAGAACAGATTAAGCTCCTTGGTCTCAAAAAGTTGTTGCCAGAAAATGTTGTATTTTTAAGTTTTGATGGGTGCCCTCGAGGCAAAAAGTATTTTCCCACACACAGTTGCAAAGGAAAAGCTCCACCAAAAAGGCAAAACACAGACATCAACCCGGGTTCTGGACATTTTAACACCAAGTGGAAGAAACGGAGAACAGAAACAGCAAAGATAATTTCTGAAAGAATGCTGGAAACAGGACACGGCGTCAGATACGCATCAGAAACAAGCGGTCACAACAGGAAGCGTTTCCCTGCGAACAGGTTCCTCCAGCTTTCCCACGTGGGGCTGGCTTCGGCGCTGCCAGGCGGCCTGCGGGGTGGTCACCGCCAGCGTGTCCCAGCAGCCCGGCCAGCCCCACACAGGGTCAGCCTGAATGGTCGATCCCATTCAGCTTTTACTGAGCGGAGCTGCCCACGGCCGGAGCCCCATCCATGTGTGGGGAGAAACTTACCGATGGCAGAGCCGTTGAGGAAAAGCGCAACGCCGAACAGGACGCCGACGCAAAGCGCGAGGATGAAAGGCCGCCGGCGGCCCCAGCTCAGGGTGCACCGGTCACTGGCAGACCCAATGAGAGGCGTGAAGATGAGGCCGAGGATGGGGCTCAGGAACCAGGTGAGGCTGTAGTACTGCTCCGGAAGGCCTGCAAGGGACACGAGGGCTGTCGTACACACAAGCACTGGCCGCGCTCTGCCACAGTCTGCGTGGGAGCCCGGTGACAGCAGGTGCCTCTGTGTACACGCACACACACACACACACGCACGTGCACACCCCCCCGACTTGGGTTGTGTCTCCACGGGGTGGACTCTTTTTTTCTGTAAGGCCAGATATCTGAAGTCAACCCGGCCACAATATAAGCATCAGGAGGCCAGAGAAAAGCAGCCAGGCCTTGGAGGGCCAGTGGGCCCCACCTGCCCAGGCCCCAACCTGAGGGACAGCACATGCTGACCGTGCAGGCACGTGGAGGGCGCCCCGCCTGGGGCTGGACATGGGCTGAGAGCTCCTCCACACGGCTGGTGCTGACTAGGGCTTCGGGGCTGCTGTAGGCCACTTGGAGGGTGACAAGCACAGGGCCACTGTCCCTCAACGCCAGATGGTCTACAAGAGCAGGATGGGACTGCAGCTTCACAGAGGCAGGAAGGGCCCACCAGACCTGGACATCACTTACTGAAAATGCACCAGAGGGTCCTACAGAGGGTCCCCACAGCCGGCAAAGGGCTTCTCTGAGTGGCTAAAGGGGGGATGAATGTGTCCAGCTGGAGCCAAAGGGTTGCAGATGACACCTGTCACGCTCACCTTCTCCTTCCTGACCACCCAGAGAGGCAGGAAATACTGTGCCTACTGCAGACAGGGATCCTCAAGTTCAGAGAGGTCAGGTAATCCACCCCGGGTCACAAAGCTAGGATTCCAGCCCTGGGCTACCTGATTTCAAACTGTCCCTGAGTCTACAGGCTGCTTCCCTATCACACAAACCCACTTGTCCATCGCCAGCCAGGTGGGCACATGACGTGGGCACAGTCCTAAGTGCCGCAGCCTGGGAACGGGCAGCCGTGTGCACGAGCTCACTCACAGCACCGAGCAAAGCGGCCGCACACGCCTTTGATGCCTGTTGTGTGACGTCCAAAGGCGTGGAAAGGACTCTCCGATGTGAGAAACTGGGTGCCGGTCACCCTTGACGGGGGGCAGTGGCTGAAGCGAGGTGGGCTCTGGGACTGGGGGGGTCTCTTCTTGGTCTAGATGGGAGTCCCACGCTCTAGCCACGTGGTGCCAATTCATCCCACAGGGGACCTGAGATCTGTGCCCTCTCCCCATGCTGTATGTCAGGAAAACGCTGCCTTACAAAATAAAGGTGCTTGACACGCCGGTGGCTCATCTGGCTAATGTTTTACACTGCCAAAAGCCACTGAGAGTATTGTGTTGAACTAGCAAGAAAAATAAACTTGTGTGGGAGGAGGAAATCATTTTCAGAGGAGGGAAGCAGCTTTCACAATTACTGCTAACGTGCCCACTCAAATATTTGCGCATTTGGCCGAGAATTTCAGGTGTCTGCTTTGACCTCTGCACTGCACACCTCAGGAAGGGTGAATTTTATTCCTAAGTCAGCAGAAAGCACTGATGTTTCAGGAAGCGAGGAGTCTGTGGAGCGTGTCCGCTGGACGGGTGAGAATTTACATGGCAGACCCAGCTTCCTTGGCGTCCCTGCCCTTGTTAATAATTATCCATCAGGAAGCCTATTTCTCAGAAGAGGCTCTTTATCAAAACTACACAGAGGGCGCAGAGAGAATGGGAAGCAGTTATTACTCTCACCACATGCAGACTGAACCAATCACTGTGGGCAGACCCCGTGACGGGTGGCCCCTGGCAGAGCTGTGGGGCCCGTGTGCTGCCCTGGCCCCTCTGGAATGTGCACCCGGAAGGGCTCTGGGTGTCTCCTGTAGCGGCGCGCTGGTTCTCACCTCCCTGCCTACGGAACCCCCACCTGCTGTCACTTCCCAAACTCCTTGGGGGCCATCCACCCAGGAGGCCCCCACCACCCTGGGCACGGCACTGCCTGCCTTTTCCACACAGCATCCAAGCCGCCTCAGCCACCCACATGCACTCCCGAGAGACCGTGCCCCCCGGAGGGCTGTGGCCGCTCCCTCCTCTCTCCATGCCACCCACCAGGCTGGCACTAGATGGGAGCTGTGACTCACAGAGGGCTTGAACGCTAGCTGACCTGAACCAAAACCATCTGACCATTTCCAGTAGGCCTCGTTCCTTTTTGAAAAAGCTGCGTTTTCATCTGATAGCCCTTCCCTTAAGCCTGAAGGATTTGTTTTTGTTGTTTGTTTGTTTTTTTAGCATTTCTAATAAAGGGGCTCTGAGTTGACAAATGTGCTTGGGTTTTGTCTGAACTCTCTTCATTACACTTTTACTCTTGAAGAATACTTTTGCTGGACACAGAATTCTGGGTGAATTCCTCCCAGCTCAGAACCTTGAGGATGTCATCCACTGTGTTCGGGGTGCTACAGTTTCTGACGGGGCGGCTGTGGTGACTCCCGTGTGTGTTCCCCCCATATCACTGATGTATCTTTTTCCCTCGGGCTGCTTTAAAGATTCTCTTTACTGTTGCGCTTCAGCAGTTTGACAATGACAAGTCTAGACAGGGATTTCCGCACACACCTCCTGGTTGGGCTTCCTTGAGCTTTATGAATTTGTAGATTTATATTAATGTTTCACCAAGTTTAGAAAACATTCCGTATGTCTTACTTCAAAGCTGTGGGTTTTTTGGTTTTTTTTGAGACAGGGTCTTGTTTTGTCACCCAGGCTGGAGTGCCATGGTGCAATCTTGGCTCATTGCAATGTCTGGCCTCCGGGTTCCAGCAATTCCTGTGCCTCAGCCTCCTGAGTAGCTGGGTACAGGTGTGCACCACCACACACGGCTACTCTTTGTATTTTTTGTAGAGACGGGGTTTCGCCATGTTGCCCAGGCTGGTCTCAAACTTCTGACCTCAAGCAATCTGCCCACCTCGGCCTCCCGAAGTGCTGCGATAACAGCACTGAGCCGCTGCTCTCTGGCCCTTTAAGTTTTTATATCCCATTCTCTATTTCTGTTCTTCTGGGGTTCCAATGACAGCCATGAGACCTTTGAGGTCATCCCCCTGTTTCCCGGGGCTTCCTTCATTTCTTTTTTTCTCCATATGATTATTTCTATGGATTAATCATTAAGCCCACTGACTCTTCTGTCGTCTCCAACCTGCCGTTAACCGCATCTGGTTCCTTTTCTGTTTTGATGCTGTTATTTTTTCAGACCTAGAGCTTCCATTTGGCTTTTTCTATAGCTTTTATTTCTCTGCTGGGACCCCCTGCTCCCCATTCTGAGCATGGTTTCTGTGCTTCGGCATAGTTGTGCACACCCATATGGCCAGCACGGCGCCTGGTGTCATCGTGGGTCAGCTTCCGCCGCCTTCTGAGCAAGGGTCCCCTTTGCTTTTTTAAAAAAAAACATGTGTGCTGGTGCGGTGCTTCACGCCTGTAATCCCAAAACTTTGGGAGGCTGAGGTGAGTGGATCACCTGAGGTTGGGAGTTTGAGACCAGCCTACCAACATGGAGAAACCCTGTCTCTACTAAAAATATAAAATTAGCTGGGCGTGATGGCACATGTCTGTCATCCCAGCTACTCGGGAGGCTGAGGCAGGACAATCACTTGAACCTGGGAGGTGGAGGTTGTGGTGCGCCGAGATCGAGCCATTGCACTCCAGTCAGAGTCAAACTCCGTCTCTCCAAAAAAAAAAAAAAAAAAAAAAAAAAAAGGTGGAATAATACTGAGTTGTATCCTAGACACTGTGGAAGCTGTATTATAGACGACACTGTTACATTTCTTTGAGAGTGTTTGTGGTTTTATTTAACATGGGGTTTGAAATTCCCGCCCCATACCCTAACTCTGCCTGTGGGTTTTTCGAGACAGGGAGAGTGCAGCTCTCCACCCTGTGCTGCATCAACTAAGGCCAACGTTGGGTTAAAAGTGGTGCCAAGTGAGAAACCCGGGCATTCCCTCTTCCAGCTGTCACCTTCCTACTTTGTTTCTGCCCTGAGCACTGGGTGGTGTCAGGAGGGTGGGAGGAGCTGCAGGTGGGACCCAGCCCACCCGCTCTAGAGGCGGTGCTGCGTGCATAGACCTGTCCCGCCTTCATGCGGACAGCCTGGGAGATGAGAAGACGCTGGGTCCAGAGCAGCCCTGGACCAGCAGCTGCCCTAGCCCACAAGGGAGGCTTCTTACCCTGGGAGACAAGAAGAAACGGTGGAATGGGGGGAACTGCTGGGCCCGGGCCAGGCCCTCAGCTTCCCAGTTCTCCTATGGAGGATGCTTCTCCAGCCTTGCCCCACGCCCCTCCAGAGCCTGGTGGGACCGGGGTCCCGGGTATCGCTGGCACGTTCACCCACAAGCATCCTCCCCTTTGCCCTCTGCTCTGACTCCTACAGCCCCACAGCTGCCCTGGCCCCCCTGTGACCCTGGCCCGTCCCTCCGGTGTTGCCAGCCCCCAGCTCTAAGTCAGGCCTCCCCATGCCTCCCTCTGACCCCCACTAACTCACCCCTACGCCTGCCCCATCTACCTTGGGACCCAAGGTGACCCCTCAAACCATACAGCTGCCATGGACTGTGCTGCTTCCACCGTTCATTCCTGCAGTGATTTCCACTTTACGCCCTGTGGGGTCAGGGCCGTGTTCCCACCCTCAACGGGACACTGCCGGACCTGTGGGGTTCCTTTCTCCATCTTCCCCTCTACTCGGACAACCCCAAGCCTGCACGTCAGGACTGGCACTTGGCGCATTCTAAGGGGACCTGTGGAGATGCAGTGCCCACTGCGGCACCACTGCCTGTGCCTCCTGCCGGGGTGCCCTCCATGCTCTTTCCCTGGAAGGGGTGGCGCGCTGGCACCAGGCATCTACACCCGACGACAGCTGTCACCGTTGAACTCCACAGTGGGCCTGGCGCCACCCCAGGTACTGGCCTGTGTACTCTGGAGGAACCCAGAATCCAGCCAGAGCAGGAGATACACGACTGGGGTACACAGGGCAGGAGGGGCTGCCAGGGCCAAGGAGGCTTCCCTCGGATGGCATGCGGTGGAGGCCGCAGTGACCACGAGCAGGTCAGGCTGAGG